TAACGTGAGCATTTTTCTTCACAGAACTAGAACAGTCAATTCTAAAATTTGTACAGAACCCAAAAAGACCCCGAATAGCTAAAGTAATGTTGAAAAATAATAGCTTGTTTCCCTCTCTCCTTTTTTTCTTTTCCCCCTTCCTGTATGTTTATCTGTTTTCTTTCTTAAATTCCACATATGACGAGATCATACAGTATCTGTCTTCAAACAAGCCACAAGTGACTCCTAATGACAGAGAACAAACAGGGTTGATGAAGGGAGGTGGGTGGGGGATGGGCTAGATGAGTGACAGGTATTAAAGAGGGCACTTGATGTGATGAGCACAGAGTGTTGCATGTAGGTGATGAATCACTGATTCTACTCCTGATATCAATATTACACCATATGTTAACTAACAAAACTTAAATTAAAAAAAAAAAAAGGAAGAAAAAGAAGAACAAAGTGGGAGACATCACATTTCTAACTTGAAACTGTATTACAAAGCTGTAATGATCAAAACAGTATGGCACTGGCACAAAAACAGACACATAGATCAATGGAACAGAGCAGAGAACACAAAAATGGACCCACAACTATACAGTCAATGAATCTTTGACAAAGCAGGAAAGAATATGCAATGGTAAAAAAGACATTCTCTTTAAATAGTGTTGGGAAAATTGGACAGCCACACGCAGAAGAATGAAACTGGACCACTTTCTTACACCATACACAAAAATAAATTCTAAAGGGATTAAAGACCTAAATGTGAGACAGGAATCCATCAAAATCCTAGAGAAGAACACAGGCAGCAACCTCTTTCATCCCAGCTGCAACAACTTCTCACTAGACACATGTCTGGAGGCAAGGGAAACAAAATAAAAAATGAAATACTGGGACTTCATCAAGATAAAAAAAAACTTCTGCACAGCAAAGGGAACAATCAACAAAACTAAAAGACAGTGTATGGAATGGGAGAAGATATTTGCAAATGACATATTGGATATAAAGAACTTACAAAACTCAATATCCCAAAAATTAAAAAAAAATCAGTTAAGAAATGGGCAGAAGACATGAACAGATATTTCTCCAAAGAAGATATACAAATGGCTAATAGACTGATGAAAAAACGCTCAACACTCATCAGGGAAATACAGATTAAAAACACAATGAGATACAACCTCACACCTGTCAGAATGGTTAAAGTTAACAACACAAGAAACAACAGATGTGGAGAAAAGAGAACCCTCTTACATTGTTGGTGGGAATACAAACTGATGTAGACACTCTGGAAAACAGTATGGGGGTTCCTCAAAAAGTTAAAAATACAACCCAGCAATTGCACTAGTAGGTATTTATCCAAAGGATACAAAAATATTGATTTGAAGGGGCACATGAACCCCAATGTGTACAGCATAACTATCCACATAGCCAAAATATGGAAAGAGCTCCAATGTCCATGCACAGCATATTGCATATGATGAGTGGATGAAGAAGATGTGGTATACATACACAATAGAATATTACTCACCCACCAAAAAGAATGAAATCTTGCCATTTGCAATGAGTTGGATGGAGCTAGAGAATATTATGTTAAGCAAAATAAGTCAGTCAGAAAAAGACAAATACCATATGGTTTCACTCATATGTGGAATTTAAGAAACAAAACAGATGAACATAGGGGAAGAGAAGGAAAAATAAAGTAAGATAAAGACAGAGAGGGAGGCAAACCATAAGAGACCTTTATATATAGACAACAAACTGAAGTTTGCTATAGGGAAAGTGGGTTGGGGAATGGGGCAAGTGGGTGATGGGCATTAAGTAGGTCACTTTATGTAATGAGCACTGGGTGTCATATGCAACTGATGAATCACTAAATTATACCCTTGAAGCTAATACTACACTATATATGAACTGAATTGAATTTAAATAAAATCTTGAAAGAAAAAAAAATAAATGGGTAGAAGATCCAAACAGACATTTTTCCAAATAAGTCATACAGATGGTCAACAGACACATGAAAAGATGCTCAAAATCACTCATCATCAGGGAAATGCAAATCAAAACCAAAATGAGATATCACCTTACACCTGTCAGAATGGCTAAAATCAGAAAGACAATAAATAACAAGTGTTGGTGGGGATGAGGAGAAAAAGTAACCCTTATATACTGTTTGTAGGAATGTAAATTGGAGCATCGAGTGGGAAACAGTATGTAGGTTCCTCAAAAAAATTAAAAATAGAAATATTATATGATCTAATAATTCCATCCCTGGGTATTCACTCAAAGAAAATATAAACCCTATTTCAAAGAGATATACATACCCCTATGTTTATCATAGCATTATTTACAATAGCCCAGATATGGAAGCAACCTGAGACTCAGAAGGATAAAGAATATGTGTTATGTATCTACAATGAAATATTATGCAGTCATAAAAAAGGATGAGATCATTCCATTTGTGATGACACGGATGAACCTAGAAGGTATTATGCTAAGTGGAAGAAGACTGAGAAAGACAATAACTATATAATTTCACTTATATGTGGAATATAAAAAAAATAAACAAAAAGCAGAATCAGACCTATAAATCCAGAGAACTGATGGTTGTCAGAGAGGAGGAGAAACAAGGACAGGCAAAATAGGTGCAGGCGAGTGGGAGATATCGGCTTGCAGTTGAGGAATGAACAAGTCACATGAATAAATTAAGCACAGCATAAGGAATATAGCCAATGATATTATAATTGCATAGTGACAGACAGTAGCTAAACTTGAAGTGAGCACAGCATATTGCATAAACTTGTGGAATCACTATGTTGAAATGTAACATTTTTGTGTCAACTACACTCTAATAAAACAATTTTTAATAAACAAATTTATTATTTAAAGTACATAAACATATGGCTGCTTTATTGTGTTCTGGTATAACCATGCTTGAATATTTACAAAGTGGAATGCGTATTACATTACTATAAGTTATTTTAATTTTGTCTTAATATTATATTAAGTTATTTTCAAAGATGTATGTACCTAGGTGATACTAAGTTATGAAATTCACTTCAAGATAGTTAAAGGGGACTTTAAAATATCTTTTATAAAAGATGGTATTGGGTCTGATAAGGTTAAAAAATGAGATCATTGTTGTAACAGTAAGAGGATTTATTTCCCTTTTTAGGAATATTTAATTTGGATAAAGTATATCAGAAAAAGAAATTCACCACTTTTTAAGAGAAATCCCAAATGGTTACTACTAGTATAACAAATCACTACTGGCTTTTGCATATAATTCTTGCATCTACAATTATTTTATTATTCCTATAGTTTGTTGATTCTCCTGAATTTTTTTTGTAGACAATTATATTTTCTTTCTTGTTTTCAGTTCTTATATCTCATCTCTTGTTTTACTGCTTTTGTTAGAACATTCAGTACAATGTATGAATGAATAGAATAGAATGTATTAGTGAATAGAAATCATGATATCAGTCTTCGTTCTCTTCTTCCTAACTTGAGAATACATGTAGAGTCTAAATTACCATGTCAGCAATAGTTTTGTTTTTTGTAATTAACTTTTATGAAGTTAAAGAAATTTTCTTATATTAGGCCTTTGGTAAAAGTTTAAAAATTAATAAATACTAAGTTTTGTTAAAATCAAATTTGCTAAAATGATCATATGACTTCATTCCTATAATCTCTTAATGTGGTGAATTATAATATTGCTAACAATTCAGATATTGAACATTTCTTACATTTCTGTGATAACCCTTATTTGGTCATGACTTAGCTATCTTGTTTGAAGTGCATGGGTTATTCAATTTTCTAATGTCTTCTTTAGCAATTTTGTAACTGTGTTCTTTTTTTTTTAAGATTTTATTAATTTATTTGAAAGAGAGAGAGAGGGCACATGAACAAGGGTGAGGGAAAGGCAGAAGAAAAGGGAGGGGGAGAAGCCAACTCCCTACTAAGCAAGGAGCCCAATACACGGCTCTATCCCAGGACCCTGGCATCATGACCTGAGCCAAAGGCAGCCACTTAAATGACTGAGCCACCTACGTGCCACTCAATTTTTTTTTAAAGAACATTTTTGAGGCTATAAATTTCCCTGTAAATATCATTTTGGTTGCATCCTCAAAATACTGAGATATATTATTTTTGATATTACTTAATTGTGAATATTTTATAATTTCCTTATAGTTTCCTTTTAACATGTAAATTATTAGGCATGTGCTTTGAAGTTTGCAAGCATGTATTTTAAAATAATTTTTGTTGTTTATGTTTGCATTGTATTATAATCCTATAATATGATCAACAAAATGTGAATTCTTTGAAATAATTTTATTTCCTTTTTTCTCAATAGGAAGAAATTTCTAAAATGTTTTATATATGCCTTAAAAGAATGTCTGCTTCACACTTTGGATTGTAGAATTCTATATTTACTATTAGAATAGGTATGTTAATTATGTAGTTCAAGGCTTTTATACCCTTATTAAATTTTGTCTGCTTGGTTACGGATGGATTAAATATTTCATTATGACAGAGACTTGTAAATAACTCCTTCATCTATCAATTTTTATCATAAATATATACACACACACATATAGCTACACATTTTAATATATATGCACATAAATGGTGAAGATATATAATTATGGGCATGTAAATTTGTAATTCTTTATCCTCCTGGTGAATGGGAACTTTTGTCATTATTTGGCCATTCAAGAAATCTGACACTCCAATTTTACCTCTTAAGGTAGAAAGATTAGCACTAACAACATTAGTAACTAGAAGTTCAAAAGACCTTTCCTGGTCCCTATGTAATTCATAGTTTCACTTTCTCTGCCACCCAGCCTTGGCTCCTTCCTTCTTTAGTTCTGTTTTTTGGCTAGAGCTAGAGTCAATCCTTCCTAGCTGCTTTCTCTGTTATTATTAACACAGTGAGATTAGCTTTAAATAAACAGAAAGTCCCATTCTCCCCCTAAGAGTATAAACCTGTACGCTTTTATTAAAAAGCATTTATTGAGCATCTACTATGTATCAGGGACTGTGCTAAACGTAACTGGTGTCTTCCTGGAGCTTATACTTTAGAAGAAAGTAAATCACACTAAAGATAAACCTTTATAATGATGACATTTGATATAAATAAGATATTGCTCTGAAGTTCTACAAAAAGGGGGATTTGACCTTGTCAGGAAGGTGTCCTTGATAAAGTATGCCTTGAATTGTAATTTAAAGGAGAAAAAGCTAACTACATGAAAGGAAGGAAGTGTTTCTTCCTGAATGAATAGCAGTGTATAAGGGCTCTGAGGTGGGTGAAAGTGTTTGAGTACCATGGCAAAAATTAGGTAAACATTGCTAGAACAGAAAGAGCAAGACCATTATAGTAAGATGCTTTGTCTCTGTCATAAAAAAAATTACACACGACCCTTAAACAATGTGAGGGGGATTTAGGGGAGCAGACCTTCTATGGTAAAAAATTTGTCTAAAACTTTGACCCCACAAAAACTTAACTACTAATAACCTACTGTTGACCAGAGGCCTTATTGATAAGAGAAACAGTCAATTAACACATATTTTACATGTTATATGTATTACATATACATGTTCTTAATAACATTAAGAAAATCATAAGGAAAAGAAAATATACTTGTAGTACTAAAAAAAGTCTATTGAAAAAAAAAATCCATGTATAAGTGGATAGGCACCATTTAAACATGTATTGCTTGAGGGTCAACTATACTAGCTATTGAAAAGTTTAAAGCAGGAGGGGTGAAAATTATATTTTAATTATGGAAAGATCAAAATGGCAGCAATGTACATAATGGAACAAAAAAGTGCTTGACTAGATAAGAGGAAAACCAGTTAGAAAGTCACTGCAGAGTTAAAAGCAAGGAATAACAGCAAGTAGAGCTAGAGTGATAGTGGAGATGCAGAGAAGTAGTTGAATTTGAGAAACAGTAAGGAGGTAAAATAAACAGGACTTGATGAAGGACTGACTACACTATAAAAAGGGATTGGAAGTAAATCCTTGCATATAATTAGGCTTCTGGATTATATCATTAGATGCATCCTGCCTTTCACTAAGAGGAAACACAGTAAGCTAATGATTATGAGCTGGTTTTGAATAAGGTGAATTTGGGATGCCCTTACTAAAAGAAGGTGTTGGACCTACCTGTTTCCAGAGCTCAGAGTCTGGGTCAGAGATGCAAATTTACAAGTACTAATTACATCAGAAATATGGAAGAGATTATCTAGGGAAAGAATGTAGAGTAAAAAGAAAAAAGAGGGGCGCCTGGGTGGCTCAGTGGGTTAAGCCGCTGCCTTCGGCTCAGGTCATGATCTCAGGGTCCTGGGATCGAGCCCCACATCGGGCTCTCTGCTCAGCAGGGAGCCTGCTTCCTCCTCTCTCTCTCTCTCTCTCTGCCTCTCCGTCTACTTGTGATCTGTGTCTGTCAAATAAATAAATAAAATCTTTAAAAAAAAAAAAAAAA